AGTGCGGTTTCTGGGGGGGGGGGGTACAGCTAAGCTCAAAGACTGGTATCGTTGTATCTGTTGTGCTCCACAACAGTTATATTAAAAAGCTGTGGGGTTTCCTCTCGTGCGGTTTGTCACATGCCCTGCATGTCTGACCAAGTGGGATAATGGTGGTTTTCAAAATACTTTATCATTGCTTTGTTTTTCAATGAGGGAAAACTGACCTTGATTTCTCCCCTCTTCAAAACACCCTAAAGGAAGCTAGCCAAGAAGCAGAAGGAGACTCAGACCAGCACGCAGAGGGAGATGGGCCCCGTGGCTACTTCCGACAAGACCTCTACCAAACTCAGTGCTGTTCACAATGAAGAAGCTTTTTCTTCCAGCTGCCAAGATGTTAATGGATTCAGTAAGTTTAACTTGCTTGCAATGGATATGTCCCCCTTGGAGAGCTCTGGGTTCTTAAAAGGACCTATTCCTATGGGCACAATGTTGAGGAGCTGGGAGTGACAGTGATAGAGATCATTGCAGAAGCTTGCTAGAGATCAGTTGTCTGAAATGTCTCTGACACTGCCCCTATTTTAACTGTCAGGTAGAGAGCATTCAACCTGACTCTAAACCTACTGAGAATAATTTATAAAGTCTGTTCTAATAACTACATCAGACAATCAAAAAGGCACATGTTTATTTGTTCTTCAGGAATATTTTTTTCCTTTGTGAGTAGAAGAGTCGAATCAAATCACTTAGCTGACTTGTAGGATGAAATAGCATTTTCTGTATGAAATTGTTATGAAAGAAAGCATGGTCTCATGGTCAGAGAACTGGAATGGAAAGAGAGCATTTCTTCTTTTGTCTGTGTCCTCGGTTTATTCTTCACATGAGTTCAGTAAAACTAATCTTAGTTAATACTTGTAAACCGCTCAGACCTCTGTAGCTGGAAGAGTTTTGTGGGTAAAAGCAGCACAAAGTCATACTTTAGCCTTGCTAGATCCAGCTTGAGTGCATGGTGGATTGCATGGTGGATTTGTAAACTTTTTCGTATGAAATAAATTTTAACTTAGACACTATGGGAATGTCACTCCTTCTTTTGACGCTTAACCTGCTAGTTTGAACAGGGAACAGCTCTGAAACACAAGTACGTACTAAAACTCTTTTGTCTTTCTTAAATGTCCTTAGTGAAGTGCTTTTTCCCCCAACTCCTAACGTGGAAGTGCTTATGGTACAAAACCAATGTTTTATCATCGAAACGTTTTTGCTCTGGGATCGAGTGGGACAGGCTGAGTGAATTCTTCTTTTCCCTCTATCTGTAGGTCATGTCAAATTCCATCTGCATGCCTTGCTCCTGCCACGCTGGGTAGCTTACCTGGGGGATGGATAAATAGGTGTTTGGGCCTGTCAAGGGTAGAAGGGAACACTTCTCTCTGGTATCAAATTGACTTGAGTCAAGATGTAATTTTCTCAGGTGCTGGGTAGCTCTATCTCCTAAAGAAGACAGCAAGAGTTGTCAGTGGTTCATATCTTTGAAAGACAGGATAGCAGAGAAGAGCAGCATAACAGACAGCCCAGAAACAGCAAAGGTAGCTTGTTTGAAATGTGTGGGGAAAATCAAGTTTTTAACACTTTCTTCAGAATCTGGGTTTTTAAAAGTTTTGGGATTTTTTTCCAACCAGAAAATAAGAGAAGAGATGAGCTTGAAATGTGACCTCATTTTTTTTTTTCCCTTGGTATTTTGAGAGACTAATTAAAACAGCTGAGTCATTTACTTGAAATGGCAACTATAGAAAATATGTTGTATCTAATTTTGTAAAAAAGCAGCATCCCTCCAGGTTTTCTTTTTTTTTTTTTTAATCAGTTAGTCCTTTGCTTGACATCACTGCAGAATTTATCACTACCTCCCTCTATTACACAGCCCGAGTCAAGTCAAGGGCTGATTCTTTTCTTGTTTTCCTCTTTATATCCATGAGAAACAATTACCAGTAAGCCTATATGGTCTCTCCACATTTTTTACTGCCAAGTCCAGGGTGCTGAGGTGTTGGAGGTAAGTTTTCTTCTGTGCAGCAGCGTGCACATGCTGATGCAGGAATTCTATGGGTAAAAGACTTTCTTTTAAAAAATTGGCCTTAACAGAGTTTTAATACTTGAGGGTTTCTATCTAGGCCCACCCCAACTTTTGAATAAGACGATAGGATTACTTCTTAACCTCCCTGCTGACTAATCGAGTTTTACAGGGGGTTATCCATCCTAGCTTTTGAAACCAGCTGTCTCTCTTAAGCAGCAGTCAGATTCCTTCTTAAATTCTCCTTTTGCCTCCCCACAGAAAGTAGCATTTGCAGATGTCTCAGGAGAGGTAGTCACTCTCTCCATCTTCACCCCCAGCTGTGGGACTCCGAGTTGGCTGTAGCACCGACATGGAAATGCCCCTCTCCTTTCTGAAGAAAATCCACCAAGAGGAGCTGAGTGTTCTCAATGCCAGGGTCACCTTGCTAGCTCACAAAAGCAATGCAATAGAAGAAGACAGCTTGTTAAGTAAAGCCTTACAATTAGTGAATGACTTGCAAACAAGTTTATCTCCAGGTGACAGTGTCCTTACGGGGCGTGTGTCCTTCCCTCCAGTTTTTCCTTCCTGTCCCAATAATTGTAACGACTTTTCAGACAGATCAAATTCCGTGAGTCCCTACAGAAGCTTTTTTTCTTCCCATAGTCTCTCTAACCAGCTTGGCCACTGGTCTGCTCCCGCCACAGCAGGTCTTCTGCTGTTCTTGGGTGACCCTGTCCTGCTGTAACTTCCCCATTTGCTGCCTGCAGCTCTGTCACTCGCAGGGAGCTCCCACTGACGGGTCACTGAAAAACCAATGTCCCCCTTGTCATAGCAGGTGGCACTCTGCATCAGGAAGGACACCAAAAGTGAGGAACTGCCTTTCTGCTGATCAGCCTCTCCTTTTCTGAGGGCACTTTTACGGGCAACTCTGAAAATAACGGTGATTCTGTCACTACTGAGAGTTGCTGTTCTTCTGCCTCTGCTGTTAGAAAAAAATGCAGAATTCTTCACCTGCTCCATCTCAGTAATTTAGGGGGAAATGCTTACGTTTTCAATATAAGCTCGTGCAAATGGTGTCATCCATAAAGTCGTGCTGTTTGGGTGCAGTGGAGTCCTTTATGGAGGCCAGTGCAGTGCTCAGGAGCACACAGTCCCGTGGGACCTTTTGTCCATTTGGCAGAGATGATCATTATCAGATGTAATTACATTCTGGAAGATCTGTGTCTTCTGTGCTGGAACAGGGAGACCTCGGGTCTGGCTGAGAAGGGGAAGAGAAATGGGCATTTATCTTTCCCGACCCAAAGCAAAGCCCCTCATCCCTCTTTCCATTCTACACTGTTATTCATTATTCAGGCAGAACTCTTACTCCTACATACAGGAGTTTGAAGTGAAGAGATTTTATGGCCTCAGCCTCTGTCTCTGACACCGCATGGGATCAGAGTAGGTATTTGCTGCAAGAGAAATGAGTCCATGGCTGTTCCAGCTTGTCTGGTTTTACCCAGGGATTATGTGCAGGTGAAGCGGGCTAATCCTAATTGTTCATTTTCTCAAATATCTTTCTTTCTAAAAAATAAGAATACATCCTAAATCCATTAAAGGTAGATGATGGTACTTGCAGTGTTTGGGCCTGCTCCTGGGTTTGCAGGAATTTTTGGAAAGCAGCAGCCTTCCCCTGGGAGTGGCACAGCACGGTCACCAGTAGGCAGTGACTCGGTGCAGGCTTAGCATGAAACGAGGTGACAAATTGAAGACAAGGGGGGCCTAAAGTCATCCACCAGCCTCTGTGCACTGACCAGAAGGGTGTGCAAGGGCTTGTTAGTGCACATAAATTGAGCACAATTTGGCAGCCCGTCCGTGTGATGGGAGAAGCAGCAGCACATCATCTCAGCAGTGATGCACTAATGATACCTCCTGCCCAAAAGAACTGCTCTTCTGGCTCTGCGATGCTGGAGTGCCATGGATAGGGCTTGCCCAGGAGAATGCCATGGCACCGGCACTGCCATCTTCACATCCTTGGAGCGGTTCTGGCAAGAACTGGCTGATTCTGAGATTTAATCTCTTAAAATGCAGCCTGTTTCGCTAGAGACTGATTTATTAAGGCGTGCTTAACTTTTGTGACATCTCCACTTGGGAGGAGACTGCTTCCCTGGACAACCTTCAGCAGTGAGGCTGGTACAGATTAGGGAGGTAGCTTTCATGTTCTAGGCAGAGGCACAGTTTGAAGACATTTTGGAAGCTGTAGGGAACCGAGTTTTTTGCATTAGTGGGCACTACTCTACAGTTACCAAGTTAGTGTGCTTTTATGAGCGAGAGCAAAGAGATAAGAGGAAAATGTAGAGAAGTGGTACTCAGGGTGTTAAGGATCACTTTTAATAAGAAACATCTGAATTCACACCTTTCCATCTCCTGGATGTTTTTGTGATGAATGAAATGCAAAGGTCTTTAGATTTGCTCTAAGTCACAACAGACACTTACATTAAGATCTAGTTCTTATTCCTACCCCATAGATAATTTTCACTCCTAGTTAGGTTACCTGCTGAATGCAGCCCAAGGACTTTTAGGATCATGACCATGAGATCTTTTCTTTACTGAAAAATTCTAAAATGAATTTAAAAATAAAAAATAAAGGCAAATTTCATCAATGGCATAAAAGGAAAAAATACCAAAATCCCTTTTCCTGGTTTTCATGCTAGTTTGGGATTTTTGTGGGGTTTCCTATTTCAGAAAATCTTATAAGAAGTAAGGGAGAATCATTTTTCAAGTAGGAAGGAGCCTCCACCATTCTACATGACTAGAGGGATCTGTGTGGCCTCATGTGCTACTCCAGGGAGTACAAAAAAAAATTTTAATGAAGTCTTAATGCCTGTCCTGATGTGAAATCCTCTCTGGAAGTGTTTCCCGTGGTTGCACACACTGGTGCTTATAAGAACCTCTGGTTGGGGGGCAGCAGTGTGTACACACCTCTTGTTGCACAAGCCACTACCCCACTGATTTTGGGAATGAGCTCTCCAAAGTTTTGGGAAACTTGTGGTTTTTGGTGGGGTTTTTTTCCCTTCTGAATCTAGAAATCACCTCCCTGTCTCACAAATACGGTTCATTTCATAAACCTCAGTTGGCAACATTTTTAATCAGAGTCACTGAAGTGAGGTGTATTATCTCCAGCTGTTGAAGTAATTTATCGTTAGCAGTTCCTGGAAAGGCAGTATGGCCCACAGAGTTCTTTTATACTCCCAAATTTCAGAAAATCGGAGTTCTACTCCAAGCCTTCACTGTTGACTTGCCCTGTGACCCTGGCCAAACAAGTTACTCTTTTTAGACCTTATTTTATGTATCTGTGAAAGTGATGTTCTGTTTTCCAAGTACAGTAAGAGGAGGGTCTGATTTAGGCTGCAAACAGAGGGGAGAAGGTATAAGAGGCCCAAAGGAGAGATGCTTCGTGGCTTGAAGGCAGCTGGGGCAGAACTCCAGCAGACTGAGCTATGAGGAATTTGATTATTTTCATGTGTTTTCAAGCAGTGTAAATCTGAAAATATGGTGGGAGAATGCAGAATGAGAGTGAGTTTATTTGCTAGACGATTATAAGCTGCTTAGGAGGTAATTCTGCTGACTTTATCAAACTCCCTAGACTAGTGACTTCATTGGTTCACCCCATAGAATAACTTGAAATTTTTAAGTGGTGTTTGCTCTAGAGATGCAAAAATTGCTTCTGAAATTACTTTGATGTATACTGAGTTTTATCTACTTCTATTCGATTATGGAATATTTTTTCCTGTGTTATCTATTGTCATCTTCCTGATGTACCGAGATTTGTATTAGCTTGTTGCCCAACATTTTGAGGAGATAAATAAATGCCTGTAACTCTAAGAGTGAATGCAGAGTGATAACAAAAGAACATGCCTTCAGAAATGATGGATTACCATAAGAATGTACATGTATGCTATTGTAGATATATACCAGCCTCATAAATTTACTATCAAGAAAAGAATCTAATGTGAAGATGTTGAGCCTTGCCTCCTTTCCGTAAATATTTGATTAATATGGAAATAATTTGTGGATTCTTGTGCAGAGTAAGCTGATGCTTTAATGGGAGAAAGCAGGGATGCTTGTCCTGCTGAAAGAACCCAGGTCGCAGGGGAAAGGATTATAGGATTTCCTATGAACAGTTCTGGGTTGGAGAACAAGTCCCTGGTTATCTTGTATTGTTTTAACAAAAAAGAAAAAAAAAATGCTACTTTACCTGTGTATTTTGTGGTATTAGTGTACGTTGTGTTTGAGCAGGTTTATTTTACTGTTAATACTGCATTTGATTCTCTGTAGTTTGTATTTTGGGGGTCATTTGTAAGGAACTTTCTCCTAGAGACAAAAACTTAAGTTTGTTCCTTTGGTTAAAAAGAAGGGTATCTAGAATATAGTCCTAAATGTGTATCCTGTGTAGGAACACATTGATTTACAATAACTATAATACTATATTTGGGGTCTGAAGTGCTTATATTAAAGAAAATCCATCATGATGACAATGTAATAAATGTAATATGCATGTTGAGATGAAAAATATAATTCATTTTGATAAGCCTTATATATCCCATATTACTGTGTTCTTTGAGGAACATTCTCCCTGTTCTCTTTCTCTCTCTTAATATATGTCTAAAGTCTTTTCCTTATGTCTTTCCTACCTAGCATCACCCTCTCCTTGTTCATTTTCTGTCCAAAGCAAAACCCTTCAGAGCAAATCTTTGTTGAATTCCTACTACTCAGGTACTAGTGCCAGACTTTTCTTTCATTTCTAAATTTTCTTTGCTTTTGTATGTTTCCCAATATGACCTATAGACTGAAGCTTCTGAGTGTGAGATACAGCTAACCTTGTTTTCATTTTTTGTAACTTTTTTTCCTGTTGATCTTCTGTTGATTTCCATTGATCCGTGTCGTGTGGGTGAACGGAATTCCATCTCAAAGTATCATCAGACACTGTTCCATCGACCACGCTGTTAGGTAAGAAGACAGGTATGGTGTTACTGCCCTTCATTGGAGAGCAAACACACTCATTGCATCTTGAAAATAACTCAGCATTGTGAAGTGGCTGGGCTCCAAAGTCATAATTAATCTTGTGGTCATATGTTGTGTTAATTGCCTTTTGTTTCATTCATGTTTTAATATTGATATTAATTTATATTTTTTTTTATTTTTTTATTTTTAAGGAAAGAACAGTTCAAAAATGAAGGTTTAGGAGTTCTATAAAGTACATATTGTTTATTTCTGTGAATGGGATTTGACATTTTGGGCTGAAAATTCCCACGTGCCACTTTGCCTGGGCTTAGTTTTGACTCCTGTGGGTGGTTGTGCCTTTGCTGCTGGCAAAGCATCAGAGAATGGGTTGTGTTGGAAGGGACCTTTAAAGGCCATGTAGTTCAACGCCCTGCCACGAGCAGGGACATCTACAACTCAATCAGGTTGGTCAGCGCCCCATCCAACCTGACCTGGAATGTTTCCAAGGATGGGGCATCCACCACCTCTCTGGGCAACCTGGGCCAGGGTCTCACCACCCTCAGTGTAAAAAAATTTCTTCCTTGTATCTAGTCTAAGTCTTTCCTCTTTTAGTTTAAAGCCATTACTCTTTGTCCAGTGAGTGAGGCTCAACTAGGTGGCCTCAAGGTTTGAAATGGGAGGATTTGCACGTCCCAGGCAGGTGGGAGCTTATGGTTTTGGGCTCAGTTGCAGGTATAAATGTTATTTGGAGAAATCGAGGCTGAATTTGGGCAAGTGGCCCCACCTTATTCTGTGTATGCTGAGAGTTAAATGCTAAATATAATCATGCAGTTTGGTTTTGGTTTGAGAGGATAATGAAAGGGCACCTCAGAGAGGCTGCTAATAACTGCAGAGGGGGGTGTTAGTATTCAACATCTCTAAAAATTAGCTGTTCTTGTTCAAATGATAAATAAAGCATCCGGTGTGCAGCTCTTAGGTTTGGGGTTTTTAAAAATAACACGTTTTTGCAGTAAGTTAACAGAGACAGCAAAATTGGCAGAAACTGTTGCCTGATAAAAGAAGTTATCCAAAAAACTTACTGGAGGTGTACTCTTGAAAGTGAGTAATCACAGCCTACAACTTGAGGCTCTCCCTGGAGGGTGCTGCCTGCGTGTGGAATTTGAAGAAGGCAATTCCTCTGCTATGAATCAGAAAGATGATGTGTGGTTGATCAGGATCTAACCAGTGGTATTTATCAGACCTGTCATTTTGGATTATCTACAGTAAATGTTCCCTTCCAGACACAGTAATCTACCGTGGCTGCTTTAAGCATTACTCTGGGCGTGTTGAAGGCCCACGGTTAGAGCAGGAAGAAATTACAACCGATGGCTTAAGTGCCTTGGCTTCCAGACTAACAGCCTGGGCACAGAGGCTTGGAGGGACCGCCACCGTCCACACATTTACCCTGCTATCTGTCAAAACGCTGACGGCAATGGATGAGCACTCTTTTAACCAGGCAGGGAAGGAAAGGAGTCCTTTTTCCAGAAGGTTTGTTCTCATTTCCCAGAGTCTGTGTTGTCGATAGAAAAAGTCTAAAGGCAGATTTATCTTTTGGCTATAGTTTAGAAAAAGGGTCCGGACCTGCATTTTAGTGGAAGATGTCAAACTGCTCTCAGTCTGGTACTTGGCATCTGTGAAAAACAGACCCTCATTTGAGGGAGGTTTGTTTTTCACTCTCTGTCCCGATAGGGAGGATTGCAGTGTGAACCACACACTTTGTAATCTGAAGCTCAAGGAGCCATGGACAGATTCAATCTGTACTTCTCAGGGGAAAGCAAAAACCAAAAAAGCCCCCCAAACTTTCAAAATCCCAAATTATAGAGTACAGAGCACTTCTAAGACATGATTTAGACAAATGGTCACTCCCTCAGTTCCATCTGAATTTAACAGTCACAGATGCTGCAAAAGAGCCCTTGGCATTGAAGAAATGTCTACCTTGTGACTTGAAGACAAAACAAAACATTGGTTTTCTGGCTTCTTGGACAGATTCACTAGACATTGGATGTTACTGGAAGAGCAAAATAAGTTTCATTTTTGACGTTTATTAATATTCATTCCTGGGAGAGAAAAAGAGATCTTAAAAAGGGCATCAGTCATCCCACTACCAATATCTGTCTTTGGGCACTTCTTGCAGTTCAGTGCCATTTGTTCCCATCTGTTATGCCTTCTGCTAATAAATGTTGTGTGTCTGGGAGAGAGAGATATAGGGGATTTTGGTTTTGCCTCTACCCTGTCCTGTGCTTGATTAATACTGGTTTATGTAATGCATGGTTTTAGCTCCCTAGTTTTCTCTCCCAGTTCCAGACAACTCTGGATTTAAATATTCTGTGCAAGCATCTTCACTAGAGAAGTGAACGTTTAGCAAATAAAGGAGGTAGATTTCCCTTCAGAAAGGCCCGTGTTGTACCAGAACTGTAAAACCTGAACAAGAGCCAGTACAACCTTAGAAGTTGGTTTTGGAGAAAACATGCATGGCTGAATTGAGCTGAATTTGGAAGAATTTGAAGAGCTGCACTCCTACACACGTACTCAGTAGCCCCAGCTTAGCCTGCCTCACCAAAGCATCTTCCTCCCATCTTTAAGAGGGTTTTCTGTGCTAGCTGATGAAAAATACGCATGCAATAGGTTTTATAGGATTAGAATACACTTGTGTAAGATGTTTACCAAGTGATTCTTAAAAATCTCTCTAGAATCTAGAGAAAATTACTTTCTCCAGTTTTTTTTTTTATTATTATTATGCACATGTGGCTTCTTCATAGCCTTTGAAATGAAGGATGCATCTTCTGCTCTCTGTCAAACATGGTGTCAGAAAGCTTTTTGTTAAGGAACGTGCCTTTTTACAGCTCAGTTGATATCGTTAGACAAATGGTGGTTTAACTTTGGTTTGCCATGCTGCTGTTTGTATTGTATATAGCATATTATACCTGGGTATTTATCATATAATACAGCCTTGATGCACACAAAAAGCCACATTCATTTTACCAGCTTGCACTATATCCCTAGTGTAAGGGGAAGAGATATTAGCCATGCAGTAGTCATCCTTGGAAGATGTCAAATAATTGACAACCCTTACTGTAGTGTAGAGAGACTGGATATGTGGGTAATTAAATCCATCACAAACACCACTCAAAATATAATTTATTTCGTGCAAAGGATGTCTTATCGTGTTACACACTTGCCAAGGCTAAGAGAATAAAAATATACGCAGAGATGATAGGCTTGTCATTTCAGACACAGAAGGAATTTGCCGATATTAAAGCAAAAAGTTTTGAAAGAAACTTCTCTCCATCTCCAGGATGACACAGGGGTGCAGGATTGCTTTAGTTGTCTGAGACATGGATTAGTTTTCTGGTCAGAAGGCAGCATCATGCTCTGTGTCTGGATACCTCTCTCTCAAACCAACACTATGTTTACAGAACAAGATGACATCTATAAAAGGATCTAAAGTTTCAATCCCCAGAGGTGCTCTGGGTGAGCACATCCCTCCCAGCAGCCTTACTGGGACAACTCACAGGGGTCTGATCCTACAGAGCCGCTTCCAGGCTGGGAATCTCATTTCTCAGCTGCTCTTCATCTTATCTGTGACATCTATGGAGGAGTTTATCTGTTTTTCTGTGGAGGGAGACACATTTATTTTACTTGTCTGGGTAGCAACAAGAGTATATAATACACGGGGTTGTAGCAGTGGGTGAGCAATAATATTTCATCCTTGGGGTTACTCATCAGATGGGAAAGGATGGCACTGGACGGCCTCTGCTTCAGCTTGTCTCTGCCCACCAGACTCCCTTCTGCTGCTCTTGGAAGACCTCAGAGTTTACTTCAGCAAGTTAGTGAAGGAGAGTCACAAGAAGCATCATTTTCATAAGCAGGGAGTTTGTGAATATGAAAAGTGGAGTCAACGTTGTTCAATTTGATGATCTGCTGTTACACACTAAACAGATAAGCTGAGATGCCTGAAGAGTTTCCCAATCAGGCTAGTTATGTGAGAGCTAGTGAATCATTGATTTAATGTCTTATACAAAATTTCAGGGTATTCTGTCAGCTCTTAGGCTGATAAAGGAAGCATCAGCTTCTGGATACCAAAATATCTGTCTTGGCAAGACATCTCAGTATGGGGTGTAGGAGTGTTGCACTGAAAAGGGTTAACTACCAAGCCAATAATGTATTTTGCGATTGCAAACTGCTAATATTAGACAGTCCTCTTATAAACAGCATCTTTCCAGCGACATGCAGAATACCTGGTTTATTTACAGCTGCACAAAAAGAACGGTGGAAAATTGGAAATGGTTCTAGGAAGGAACTGGAGCCCTGAGCAGCCTGCCCTAATGAGACTTCAGAAGCTCGCAATTGATTTACTTTATCAAAGAGAAACTGAAGAAGTGATTTGATCAGTGCCTGCACGGGTCAAGATTTCAAATACTCTGAGGGCTCTTTAATCTAACAGAAGGTATAATAAGATTCAGTGCCTGCAAGTCGAAGCTAAGCAAAATCAAATTGCAATTAAGAAATGTTTAGACAGCAAGGGTAATTAACCGCTGCCACAACTTTCGGGGTCAGAATGGAATCACTATCTCTTCAAATGTTTTAATTTAGATTATTTCTTGGAACTGTATTCCATCTTTGGTACACAATGAATTATGGTGGTATGTGTTCCTATGGAAAAAATGAGGACGTATGACTAGAAATAAGATGTGCATATGCAATGTAAACCAAAAAAACCATGATGCACGTTTCTGTATGTTTAGTAGTTTCCGAGAATTAATTTCGAGTATTTTTAAAGAACAAAACTAAACTAAACTATTTTTTTTATTTACTATTCTCACTGACAATTCATAGAAGGCACACATGCTTTAGAGGCACTGCCGAAACTTTAGTGAAAGTTTTGGCCAGTTTGTCCTACAAACTCATCTTCATTTGCGAGGGAATGGCAACATCTTTGTGAGAAAAGGAACGAGGGAAGGGACTCTGGAAAATTGCTGTAACTTGCTTTAATTAAAGCAGAAGCCTGACTTCGCTGAGGAGCTGGCATTTTTGTTGTCTTTTCCAGTAATAACCGTGCCAAAAGGAAAGAGAAGAACTTCCAGTTGTTCACACAATTGCTGTAAGGGTCACATCTCGTGAGAAGGTGTCCTGCCTTGCTTCACCACCTCGTTATCCATGCTTAGGTTCGGGCTCGTGGACTGATCAGGTGGAGAAGGAACAATATGTTTCGTGCATCAGGCTTCATTAGCAGAACATACAAAGGTTGGACTCCCCTCAGGCGTAGTGATTCTTCTCCATAAAAGCCCCTCCTCTCTTTCCTTGGCCCAGATAAACCGCTGGATAATGGACAGCCATCCTGAGCTGGTCAAAATGTCAGGTTTTCTTTCAGGTAGTGCAGAGGCCATCCCAGATACCTTTGTCACAGACGTCCAGAGGAGGTGATCTTCTGCCTAGCTTCAGCTCTGTGTGTCATTGGGTTGAGAGTAAGATGACCCAGATGTGTGATGCTTTTTTAAAGCGGAGCCCCGTGGCTGGGTGAGAGGCACACAAACGGTGTGATGCCACGGACCCTGCTGTCAGAGCTGTCACTCAGGGTGTTTTGTGCCATTTTTTGTCTGTCTGACCAAAGAGACCAGAAGCCCAGTTGTCACTATAAACCCAAAGGCCAGAGTCAGATCCTTCTTTGCTGCCGAGCAGCTTCTTCTAGTTCCAGGTTCATAACACAGGTGCCTTTTGGAGGGAAGTTACTCTGGCAAGGAGGGGGCACCACTTTTCTGATGTTACTCTGGCAAGGAGGGGGCACCACTTTTGGCTTTCACCTCTCTCCCTATGGTATCCTCTCTGATACCAGAGCCGAGTCTACCAGAATTAAAGGATGTGATGAAGAGGGAAATTAATAATTGCCTGCAAAGAGCTGAATGATCTGAGCTACATTGCACAAGTAGCCTGTGCTCTGCGTGTGCCCTTCCTGTATTAGCACTAGAACCGCACATTAGTTTTAAGACTCCCTCTCGAATAGGGGTCTAGTAATGTTTTTTAATTGGGGCTGATAAAAATGTGGCTTTACTTGTAGGTTCCTCAGAGAAGCCAGTTGTGAAATTGGGTTTGTATTAAACCTAATGATGGAAAATTAAGCGTAGTACGTCTGTCGGAAATGGTCCGCAATAAAAATCCTCTCCTCTCCATTACGGGAGGTTAATAGGGAATAGGGGAGGAAAGATGCACAGGGAAAGCGAATCCAACTAGGGGAATTAATAAGCCTTGAAATTCCCTCTGTTCAGAGTTCTCACACTGTCATTAGTCGGAGCATTAGGGATGATTATACAAATGCTTTGGATGTTACTCTTCCTTAAATCCCAAATTTATTCACATTTTGTGTGTGAGGGTTGCTTCGCTGTAAATCTCCCAGTGTCCCGCGAATGTGACCGTGTTTATGAGAACCTGGGATTCAGAAACCCTTAAATTCAGCAGCTTCATCTTCAGAGCAGATGATCACTTTGTGCTAATTTCAGAAGAAGCGGGATGTGTTCAGCATCTCTGATAATTCAACCACCAGCCCTCGTTATCTCACACTGGAGATGAGCTCGCCCTGCGGCAGTGTCCACTGCTGGCATCCCTTTCTCCTCCTCGTAGTCCTGTGAATACAAAACCGAGTGTCTGCCTGTCTTGCTTATCTCCCCCTAATATAAGAGTAAGCCAGCTAAAGCTTTGTTTGTCATGTTTTGTCACGCTGCTGGTTTGCCAGCTGCTGGGAAGGCCGGGCTAATGCCCTCCTCGCTCTGCTCCTGCCCAGCTTCGCAGTGAGGGACGGCGGCAGAGATCCCCACTGCTGCTGAGCACAACTCCACGGCGATTTCTCAGGGATAGCAGCGTTTACAATAGCATTCCGGCCGTGTTTCTGCCTCACGAAAATCACCCTGAAATTGCCATTTGATTTATTTATTCTTCATCCCTTCAAAAACCTGACTGCGGTATTGCTGAGGACGGGTAGTGCTTAGGCTCTTTGTCAGTGAGCTTTCTGTGAGACACAAGCTTTGTGTTATGCAGTCTGAGGGGTATTTTATGAACAGTCTGAGGGAGATACATTTTCTGTTTGCTAATACCTGGGGTTTGGGTAGGACCAGAAAGAATTGATGTTAAGGTCTGTACGTGCGAAAGAACCCAAGCATCTCAGATGCCCATAGTCATAGGAAAAAAACAACGGTTTATTTGGCTAGCCATTTAAATTTGGTCAGCTCTGGTAGAAAAGAAACTACATTTTTCATCTAATCTGCGTTTCTGTTGTTAAAAGTAGCCGTTGTCACAGCCAGTTGTTGGGTTATTTAAGCTGTTTTCCATTAGTTCACCAGGAGTATTTTGGTGTGTGTATGCGTTGTGCTGGGGTTATGTGAGGTTACAGTTCCATCTACGTGGTGACAGATTTTTTTAATCTACTTCTTTCAACAAGAAACTTCTTCTGTTAACCTTATGTATTTGAAATTTAAGTTTCTGCATGCAAGTTAACTATATTTTAATGCTGGTTTATTCTTTCTGGTAATATTACATCTCTGTAATTGACATAGAAATTTTAGTCCTGAACTAGCGGAGCAGTTTAATTTGCCTCGAACATCCTGTGTGCCTTATTTGAAATGCTAATAATTTGTTTGTTATTAACTTGGGCCTCTTTCAGTTATCTCATATTGTACGCCCCGAATCCCGCTTGAATATTGTGCTCATCTTGTATGTATCTTTCAGTCCTGTTCTTTGCAGGTTTGTGAGGACAGGTATGTAATTCGATTGGAGTCGTCACGCCGAGCTCACCCGTACAAGATGTGCTATTTCACTCTTTGTGCTCTCTCCTCATTAGCCCAATGGGCTCTTCGCTCTGTTTCCCATCTCTTTGGGTTTGTCACCTTGACACAAAAAATACTTCTGTGATTTAGTCTTTCCAGGCAGCTGTAGGCAAGTGTGTGCTTGTGTTTCCTACTTATTTCTTGACTTTCTTTTGCCTGCACCAACCTACGGGGGGGTGGAGAAATGAATCAACAAACGGAGCAAGGATGGAAGTGGAAATACCAGATAGGTGAAAGCTTGTTTTGCCTCCCTGTCTTTAAAACAGACAGTAGCCATGGAGAGATGACCCAGCCAACGCTGACCATCCAGACCCACCCGTACCGGAGCTGCGAGCCGGTGGAAATGTCCTACCCCCGGGGGCAGTTCCAGCCAGCCATCCGAGTGGCCGACCTGCTGCAGCACATCACCCAGATGAAGCGAGGGCAGGGCTATGGATTTAAAGAGGAGTATGAGGTGAGAGGAACCTTTTCTGACCTGAACGAGAGAGATGTTGCACTCACGGAGGATAGATGCTTGGGAGGGGAGGATAACTGGTTTTAACACCTTCTTTTCCTTAATTCACTTACCCTCTTAATTCTTCCCTTTCTCCATCTTTTTTCTGTTTGTGAGGGTAGGATTTTACAGCGCTGCCAATCTCTGGTGGCACTCCAGTCACTTCAAGATTTTAATAGTGACAGTAGACAGAAGAGTATTTGAATAAATCAGACCTCAGCTGGCTTGCATGATGGGGGAAAAAAGGAAGGTAAAAAAAACAACAAAAAAAACCCACAAAACAAGACCTCTGAGATCATCGAGTCCAACCACATTAAAAAAAAAAAAAAAAACCAAACAAAAAAACCCCCACAACACAAAAAAAAAACCACCACAAAAACAACAAACCCAAAACCACCACCCACCAACTAAACCCCACAGCCACAACCCCACACACTATACCCCACCACAAACCAATGATCTTGGGCACTAGAGCATGCCCTGAAGAGCCATGTCTACACGTTTCTTATATACCTCCAGGGATGGTGACTCCACCACCTCCCTGGGCAGGCTGTTCCAGTGCTGGACCACTCTTTCAGTACAGTAATTCTTCCTAATATCTAATCTGAATCTCCCTTGCCGCAGCTTCATACCATTATTTCTGGTCCTGTCATTATTCCTTTGGGAGAAGAAAAGGTGTTTACTGCAGCAGTAAGAAAACGGTGCTGTGCTCATCCGTCAGCACGTGCCCTCTCTCCCATAACGAGCAGGCAGTAAATATTTAACAGGTCCTGAACTCAAGGAAGGACTTGGAGTCCCATAGTCCCTTCCTTATTGATGTGCTTTCCTTGACGCTTGTGCAAGCCAGACTTTGAGAAAAGTAAGGGGCTTTGTTTGAGCTTGTTGGGAGCTCCAAATACTCTGTAACAATTGATCAAATTAAATCACAGCCTCGTGACCTGAATGGAGAATTGTAGAGGCTAAAGGCAGAAACCTTGTGTAGCTTAAATGAAGGGGGAGTCTTCCAGTATGCTCAAGCCTCTGGCTCGGAACATATTCGAGTGGTGTATGTGCTCTTCCAACTCCATGGGAGGAAAGAAGCAGAGAGTAACTGCAAAAATGAAAGCATCCCTCCTCCCCCCTCCTCTTCCCACAAGCTGGAATGACCAGGAATATAATCCAAATGACAAGGAACATGACACTGGGGAGGAGTTGGAAGAGAAATAGACGTTTAGAGGAGAAAGAACAGAGAAGGGAAATAACATCAAACATATGTGAGAATTTGCTCTAGCAAGCGATAATTATAATGAACATAGTAAGCTTGTGGGAAGGCAATAAGCAATTAATATGCATAGTGGCATTAAAACTACTTAAAAATAATGTAACAGCTGTGAAAAATAAGTTACTTAATGGAAACAGCTCACTTTTCCACCCTGCAAGTAAGAGTCCACGGGGTTTGTATCATTGATGCTGGGTTTCGCTGTAATTGAGAGGCAATCTTTTCCTGGTTGTCACCAGGGAGTATTTCTTTAATCAGATGGCATCAAAGACAGTCATAACAAGTGTTTCTGGTAACTGTATGTTAACCAGATCTAGTCACTCATGCCCCACAATCAAGCACGCTAATTAAACTATCAATAAAAGAGCTCTGTTTAATATTGAAAAAGGGTAATAATTCTCTTAGGAGATTTACTTAGCCCCCCCTTGGCCTCCATTTCCATGAATAGTACCCAAGACTACATTCGGCTCAATTACAGATGCCCTAAGATCTAGTTCTTGATGTTCAAGAAGAAAACAGGTGCTGGCATATATGTAATTTTCTGGCACTGGCATGGGTAATTATCAAAATAACACATTAGCATGAAAAATGTCAATGCAACTTTCAGCTCCACAAGTTCTGCCTTTCCCAGAAAGTGCTATCTACATACGTATATAATGACGATGACATTATATAGATTTGCATAATTCCTTTCTTTACAAGAAATAGCCTGGAGAATGCCACAAGCTCTCAAATGGCGTGTGCCATTCTACCCTTCAATCAGAGGTAATTGCTGGAAGGAGCAGTCGTTTTCAGTGGTGGAATTTGGGTTTCAGAGCGTGGGGCACAGGTGGCACTTCAGCTCCAAAGAGCCTCCAGCCCCCAGCAGCAACACCACCACCGTGGGGAGGATGTTGGGGGGAGGTGGGATGTTCCCCCTGGCTGAGAGGGATGTCTCAGACCCAAATCTGGAGGAACACAAAGCTGCCAAACTGGCTTTGCAAAACGTTTTGCAGAATGCTTGATAAAATCTTAAAAAAACAATTTGATGTCTCTCTTAAAATGTGTTTTCTTACACTAATATCGGCGTCACCTCTAAACGTGGGGTATTTTTCTTCTAAGGAGATGATTTTCTACTTACTTTGCAATATTGATAGCATAAATTACAGCCTGTTTAGTGACATGTTCCCAAATAATTTTGCTCTCCTGAAAAATCACTTTGAATGGAGTGTATCAGTCACACATGACAATCTCTTATCTCTGTGCCTTCTCATCTCCGCTGAGTAACCTGGAAATTGCATTCGATGCTTGTTTAAAATACACCTTCACCTACAGCCCAGCGGGGCACAGGCCACACGTTTTACCCAAGGCATCCAAAAAAATACTTCTGGTGCTTGCATCTTGCATGTACCTCCCCCCGGAGATGAGAAGCAGGATGTGATTGTGTAAGAGGTGTCACTGCTGGTGTGAAATGGATGATAACTGCGTGTGAAGGTGGGAAGCTGTCAGCACTTGCTCTCTGTATGTGTGTGTGTTATTTTGGGTCTGGCTGCTGCACCTGAGGCCAAGATGTGACTCGGAACTTTTTGGCTGCTGCTTCTGCTCAGCAATAAAACGTGCAGACCCACAAGAGAAAAATAGATCACTGGGGCTGGATGTAGATAGCACTATTTGGGATTAGGCATAGCTGTAAACATTCAAACGGGACACGTTTAAATGTCACCTCTTCCTTTTTCAGCACATATCAGCCCTGATTTGTTGTGAGCTCTGGGACCAGTCCCACAGACTTAATGCGGGCACCAATTACTGGCTATGAAGATAATAAGCTTAAGCATCCAAACTCATTTTCCAATATGATTTAGGATGCCACTAAAGTGCATTCTCTGCCTGCATTACTGAGACTATTCAGTTATTTTGGCTTTTGTGGCTCCTTCCTCAAGCATCTTAGCATTGAGAATCTTCAGCTTATTGAATTCACCTGTGGAGTTTAACCCTTTCACTTCTGGCTGGCCACACACCTTCTGGCTGGTCAAAAGAGTGGATCCTGTGGTTTGGGCTATGATGTGACATTGCAGAAGGTTTGGCAGCAGAGCGTTACCGTAGATGCTGTCCTTGGCCAGTGTTGGCTTAAGGCTTTGCTACAAACCAGAATGGAGAACTGAAGTGAGTGAAATATATCTTTTCAGGTTATGTTTTTTTTAAATCCAAAGTAGTTTTTAACCCTGCTCACGACAGAATTGTGGGAACGGTTTTGCTGCCACCGTTGAGAAGGTAGAGGCTGCAGGGAGAGGGGCAGGACTCCGTGGCAGGCGTTGAGATGAGCAGCAAGGCTTTTAATTGATGTTGTTGCCTCTGGCAGCGTTGGGGTAGATCAGTGCAAATGAATGATTCAAGTTTTCGTATTCAAATTAAAAACAAAGGGCAAACTAACTAAATGCATCCATTGGAAATTTAAATTGACTTGCAATAAGCCTCAGTTTAATGGGAACGCTTTAGTTATGGTTGGGCCACGTTGCCTAGAAAGCTTGATGGGGATGAAGCTGACTTTGAGATCTGTCCTCGTAATTTCAGATAAAAATTAGATGAATTTAATTTAAAAAGCACCATTGTAACATAAGTTCCGCTACTGGGGAGATATTTCAGTATAAATTTTACAAAACTTCTCTAACAGAAAGGAAGTAAAATAAGCCTGAAAATCAAGTCCAGACTTTAGAACACTGAAATTTTGCTGTTAATAAATCAAAGAAAGAAGGGGGAGCATTTCCTGTGAAATGCAGATCAAATACCGATGCCCGAGTGATCTATCCTGAATTACCATTGCTCATGATGCAGAGAAAAACAGAAATATTAACCCTTTTTGCTATTGTAGAGATACTTACTCCATAAAGAAAAATTGAAAGAACAAGCCATTAGGCGTGCTCCTCTTTTATCTGGATGCAACCGAATTATAATTGATATTTTTGCCTTTTTATTTCTAATGCAGTTTCAATTCTTCGTGCTGCGTGTTCAGTGATCTGACAGAAAAAGTTATTTGTGCTGTACCACCCGTGTACATGCAGTTACCCCAATTTGTTCACCCGGAGTGTATAAAAGTAGGGGTATGAAGTACAACTCTGCAAAGGCAGTTTGTGTTCCTCGCCGACCAGAGCTGTCCTTCCTCTCTTCAGGGATGGGTAGCTCTCTGAAAAGCAGAGATTTCTCTGGTATTGAACAAGATGAAAAATCCTGGGCTCTTAAATCTTCGGAGGCCGTATCAGGCAAATATAAAAACATCTGGTTTAATGGAGAATTTCATGTTCAAATCACATGAAAGGATAGGGTTTGTTGAAAAGGGATTTATTGGACCTGAGTGTATTTTCTTTGGCTTCACCGATGTGGAAATCACGAGAAAGGATCTTGATCTTCCTCTTCTTTTCCGTCTTCTTTTCAGATGGCTGTGGTTAGGTGTCTAATGACTGTTGCCATTCTCTGGTCAATCTGCTGTAATTTGATATTAGTGGAAAAATAAGGCACCTTTTTCCTCAGTCTTTGAAGATGAAAATGAACCTTCCTCACCTCTTTTCTTTTACTCGGGGATTTTTTGTTGTTGTTGTGTGTGGGTTTGTTGCTTGGTGTTTTTCTTGCTCAGGAGATGAGCTGCTATTTGGAAACAGCTGTCTGTAAAGGAAATATATGTGTGATCAAAGCCCTCACCAATTAGGGAGTTATTACTCTTTCTCTCGGGCTTTTGAATAGGAACTCGCTGTCCCTGTCTTCTGTCAGCAATGCTCCTGGCAGTGCTGCTGTGCCTGACATCTTCTCTCCTGCAACCCCTTTGGGGGAAATTCACAGCGATCTGGTCTGCCAGGGCTTTGCTCATATTAAGTTTAATTGTAACGTCAGTGTTGTAGATCCTAATAATTGTGTCTCTCTGCTGTTGCGTTCGGGCGCTGTAATAGACCTGGATGGCTTGGGAAGATGAATATAAATTCATTTTCTAGCACAGCTGTGGCAAACTACCCGCTGCTAGCTGAGGCAGATACGAATCTACGATGATCGTGGTATAAAAACCCCACAATTCCCTAGGAACCGTAAATAATACAATTTATAATGTTGCTGTTGTTTTTAGTAATGTAGGATCCTGTTAGGGAGTTGATCTCGGAGGAGGCAGATCTAGAGAGGAAAATCCAGCAGGAGCTGGTCCTCTGCTCCCCTGTGTTTTGGGCACAAGTCACGGCTGCAGATGGTGGCTTTCCATCCCGTTGGGATGCTGGCCATACCCCGGAGCTGCTGTTCCAGCAGAAAGCCCTGTGGTGCCTGCACTTTCATCTGCCTCCGCTGCCATCCCCGAGTGTCCCGAGGTGGGGAGAGGGACCATCTTGCCTACTGGCAGCCCGGGCTGCCTTCCAAGCAAGGCAAGATTGTCCTCCAGCCAGATCCCTTGACAACCACCATTTTCCTGGATTTGCCTTAAAAAAAATCCCTCCTGGATGAGTCTCAAGGGGAAAGTGGCTCATTTGGGTATGTTCAGAGTGGTTACAAACCAAGCTATAGCGCAGGGTGGTAACTGTGTGCTCCCATTTTCCTCACCCCATCCTTTTGCAACTGAAAGAGCAGATTATAGGAAAATTACTATTTATTTTCGTAGTTTGTGAGCATGTTTTACCTCTTTTTACCTCTCTTCTTTAGACGTGATATAAAACTGAGCTTTTTTTATTCCCCCCCCCCCCCCCCCCCTTTTTTTTTTTTTTTTTTCTGTTACACAAAAGGTTTCTTGGTTAGAATCCCTTTTTTATTTCTTTGAATCATTTTAGACTTGGAAATGATTCGTTATTATTT